AGCTGAGACTGCTTCCACAAATGGACCTGGAAGGAGTGCATGTCAGAAGAGACTTTGCCTTTCACCCTGCTAAATTCTTCATGCCCATATCTATGTCTGAAGCTTTGTCACGATCAGGAGTATTGGACGAAGGAAAAGGGCAGAATTGGTGGGAAGTATCTTTTTAAAATCATAGCATTATTTGTAAATTTTGCCACTTGTTTAAAGTTTACTTTTTCTGGGAACATTTGACAGGTGTCTCTGTTGGGGGGCTCCTAATACCTGAAATCTCTGACCTGTGGCTGTCTTGGCTGTCAGTAAATCAGTACCAGCTGATCAATGGGAGCTTCTCTACCCTGGGATCTATTAACATTTACAGTAATCCCAGCCAGGCTGTGTCCAGTGTATGCTTGTGCTTATTGATGTCACAACCCCTTCTCAGTTGCAATCCTAGAGTGTACAGCCAGCCTCTTGCTTCCCAGTCTCTGTGCATGGTCAGGCTCAAGTCTGTTTTATTCCACCTCCTGGAGATGGGTATTCCCAAAGACATTCTAGTAAGGTTTGAGGCAAGGCACATCTTGGTGGTGGTGGTGGTACAGGACCCTGAGCCTATCAGCATCTCTCTGATATATTGCCTCTTTGCTTCCCACCCCACTGAAAGCAGGCAGATGGGTTGTAAGCTAAGGGCAATGCTTAGATTGGCAACCAGCGCTTTGGCCTCGGTAGGAAATCAGTATGATTTAGGATTACTGTAGCACCTGCCATTGTTTTGTTCTGACCCAAGTATACTATTTAGTTGTATATTTTACTTGCATGTTTAGAGTATACCCAACTGTCCCAGTTTAAGACCTTCAGGGCTTAATAAAGTTAATGTTATTTTTATAATACTGGATTACATAATTCTGTATAGCCTCATCAAAGGTCAGTCTTTCCCCTTCTTTATTTTTCCCCTCTTTAAGTTGTTTCTCTTCCATCAGTGTCTGTTCAAACATATGTGTGCCTTTTCAAACATAAGCCCTCTGAGTTATCAAATGCTGCTTTCTATCTTAAAAAAAAAACAAACAAACAGTATTTCTGAGTCCTGGCTTTAAAAAGATAGTCAGCTTTTTTTCCCATCTCCTTTACTCCCAGTCCTTTTCTGAACTGAAGTGATGATATTCAACATGCAGGATAGGATAGGAGGCCATGAGTAGGGATAAGACAAGATGGAACATATTATGACATTGTATTGGAGGACTGACTATAGACCAGATATGGCGTGAATTTACACTTCCTTTTTGTTTTTTTTTAAGTGTATCAAAGGTGTTTTAATTATTAAAACATGTAATAGTGTCACGTGGTCCCTAACTCAATAGTCATTAAAAAAAGGGTTTTCACACATAACCATTGTTATGTGAGGGCCTGTAAAATGGTTTCATGTTACCAAGTTTTACTCATGTCTGAAATTGTGTGAAAAATGTCTATAGAATGTTTTGTATAATGCCATAGAAAATTTTTATATGTATGTAGTGATCTGAATTTAGGGAAATCTTTATATATTTCTAGATTGTTGTTACCCATATATCCTCTGTAAAGGTCAATATGTTTTTGCTACAGAAAAATTCTTCAGTGAGTAAAACTGAGAAGAAAATCCGAAATAATTCATCTGCTTCCTATTTTGTATATTTATGCTGCTCTTTGACTTACTAGCATGTAAGGAGATAAGAATGTTAATAATTATTGTAGTTTTCTGAAATTATTTCCCTTTATTCTTATAATGAACTGGATATGCACATGCACATACATATACACACATTTATATGCCAAATTCACTGTTTCCAACAATAGTTGCTACAGATCTTTTTAAAATATATGTTCTTTTAAAACTTTTGTAGGAATGCAGATCATCAACCTGAAAGACATATGAGTTTTTATTTCTCTGGGATACATCATTTCATAATAAGTGTTTTTCCATTGACTGAAAATCACATTGCTTTCAGACCTACAGTTAGCATGTATGTCATGTAAATGTGGTCTAGACATATTTTCATCAACAGAACCCTGGAAAGTTAACCATTTTTTGTAGGTTATTTTCCTGTTAGAGCATTAGTTGAGTTTTTTCATAATGATATATCCATTTATGGTATTTGATCATGTGTATTTACATTCTCATATGTATGGGACTTGGAATTGTTAATGTTGCACTTCTTTTGTCTCCTAAAAAATATGGGAAGAATCTTTAATGAAATGTAGGCACTGACAAATCCAAGTCTTTAGTGGTAGTGTTTCAGTATAACCAAGTTCTTTCAGTATTTTCTTATTCAAAAAGAAAAAGTTTGTTTGAAAACTATGGAGAATCCTAACTTCTTCATGCATAGAACAGTTAGCAAAGAAGGAAAAAGACTTAAATCTGCTTGGGTAGTTCCTGGTAGTGTATGACATATTTCCTCTTGACTAGTAATTTTATGCTACAAGTGTCCTAAGCCTAAATTTTGCCCTACTTTCTCAGATTGTCATTTTCTTTTAATGACAAGTGCTGCCTGACTTCCACCCCCATGCTTGTTGCCTGTTTCTAGTTTCTTACCTATATAATTTTTTTAGGAAGACATTTCCATAAAAGTTATAATATGTGCTGATATAAAAGTATTGATTTTAAAATCAGTTTTCACTTTTATTAAATTTAAATACAAATAAAAAAAGAACAAGGTCAAACGGAGTCTTTAACTATGGTAGATGAGATTTTCCTACACTGTCTGGATTGTGATTTCTTTCTTTGCACCAATAACAAATGGAATACAATTATACATTCTCTTGATGTCCGGTGTTTGTTTATGCATTCGAAAATTAATTGCTACTCTTTGTTTTTTGCTTATAATGATGTGTAATTGCTAAGAAAATCTCTTTGTTCTTACAGATTTACTCTATATCCAGTGAATAATGCCAAAGGCCCAAAAGCTGTTTTGCTCCATTTGGCTCAAGAGTGACATATTTATGCTGAGATTTAATCATAGCAGTTTATTTTCCTGATAATATAACATATATATAGCTATGCTCACCAACTCCTGTGGGTGTCTGGATCTTTATCCAATGTATCATTCTGAAGTAATCAAATCAAAACTGGGATTGAATTACTGCCACTTCCAGTTTTATTGAAAAGGACTGAAATTTTCCTTTGTGTTTCTTATCATCATCTCATGGTGATCATTCAAAAAAGATAAGGCAGGTCATAATCAATGCTGTATTCTTATGCCATAATCGCACTTATAATTATTTCTCATTTTGTTTTAACTTATAGTTTTATGATTAAAATAATCTTTAAAAAATTTTATAAGCATAAGTATGATTTTTCTATGCCTTCAATTTTTATCTTATGTATGCATTTATCCTTTTATAGCATGTTATCAATTTTTAAAGGAGCTTCAGTTACTCTTTTTCTGTTAGTTGATTTTTCATCACACCTCTGCAGTGTTTCCATTTATATTAAAATTACATATCCATCATTTATTTTTTATGGAATTTGTTTTCTTCTTTGCCCTTGTATGGTCCTTTTGCAGTATCTGTTAATACAATATTATTGGTTAATGTCTAGCATGTAAGTCAATAAGTCATTGGTCAGTAATGCCGGAAATAATCTTTCATATTCTTAGTTTTTTGAAAATTATATCTGTCCATTTCACCATTTCATATGCAGTTCCTTCTCATTGTATAGATGAACATTTTCACCTTTGATTATTATGCAGTATTTAGGAATTCTGAATAAGAGGTTTTTCTATCTCTGCTGATCATTTTTTTTCTTCCTACTACAATTTTAAAATCTTAACTATCTCTCAGAATCAAGCTGAGAACTTTTTTTATTAAGTTTCCAAAGCTAGGTCAGTTAGAAATAAAATGCCATAGAGAAAGGATCTAGGCAATGTACTACAGCAAAAGGATGCACGTTAGTGTTTCTTTGAATCAAGGTTGAAAGTTATTTTTTGTAATCCCTCATTAGCTAATATATCCATCATTAATGGACCACATGTGGCCTTGTGCTTGGTTAGTTTCACCTCAAAAAATAGCTTCCTGATGTTGCTATTAATAAAACCTATAAAGTATAATTAATTATACAGCTATATTTTATAAAACAAGAATGACATGTTTATTTTCATTACAAATTATAATCTTAAAAATAAAAATTTAGTCTGAATAAAATTTTTATTTAGTAATACGCAAATTGGTGAGTCAGTATTTTTCAGAGCAACAGCTATTTTATTTAGAAACATTTACATCCAAAAACTTCTGTTGATTTCCTTAAATATGAATATGCAAATTTTTCTCTACAAAATCTAAACTTGATTCTAACAAGTTAATTTAACTCCAGGTTAGAACTTTGGCATTATATTTCCTATTTCTTTAAAAATCTTCAATCTCTACTAAGAGTGAGAAATCAGATGAATGTTAAAGGCCTAAATAAAAATGAAGGATAGATATCATGAATTCTAGAAGAAATAAAGCTATTATGATATCATTCATGAGAGGAGACTGTCATGTTAAAATAAAATGAGCCATGTCTTCATTATTTTTTTGAAATTTATCTCTCACAAAATTTAATGTTTGTTGTTTTTTGCATGAAATACGAGTAATACATTGCTGCATACTAGTTGGCAGTCCATTTTGTTTCTAATTCACTACTTTTACTAAAATTAATTAATCACTCTTTATACCGTTGCATTTTAATTAGATGAAAGTTTTTTTAAGCATTATCAGCAGATAAGTTTAAGATAATACCTTTTCTCTTGGCTGGATACATTACAAATTCATTCGCACATTAAAATATAGTGGCATGTTTGCACAGAAAGGACAAACTAGGAATGTTTTTCAATGAGTTTTGCTTGCTACAGCTTTTCTCTAGCATGTAGTTGATACTAAGTTTGTTGGGACACACAGTGAGTGTTATGTTTGTTGTTCACATATACCATTTAGAATAATGGAGTCTAAATCTTTAAGTATCTGAAATTATTTATGTTTAATATCTTTTTCTTTTTTTCCTTATGCTCCTACAGAAATTTATGATGAAGGTAAGACATTGGATCCTCTGTTATAATAATGTAGTGCTCTTTTTCTTAGCTTGATTATACTCTAATTTTTTTAAGTCACAGAAGTTTCCTGCACATTTAAACCTTTTAGAAGTTAAAATCTGAAACTCTTAAATTTAAATATAGCAACCACATTTTAAAAAATCATCAGGATACCATTATATTAACCATCAGTAAGAGTTTCTGCTACTAGAATATTTTTATGGATTTCTAATTTAGATTATTCACTGTAAGGATTATAATGTGTGTGTATATGTTTATGGAGTCTTGTGTATAAATGTAATAGGAAATTTTTATACTTGGAAATCTGAAGATCAACCTCTTTTCACTTCTCAATGAAATAGAAAAATAAAATGTGAAGAGAAACAAAAAATAAACATATGGTTATATCATTGTAGACATATATGCAGAAGGATTTCAAGGATAGAATGTAGTTATTTTGGGGTGTGTGGTAGAGAATTTTTGCTTCATTTTTTCTTGCTCAATTTGAGTATATCATGTTTGTCACTTCATCCGTACTCCAGTTCCCTAACTTATTTCATGTCCACTTCTTGGGGAATGGTAAGTTGAATAGTTAACTGAAACAGATTATCCTAAAGCTCCTTGACAAGTGAATATTCAAGTAAAGATCAATAAGAAAGTTAGTGTAGAGTAGAATCAATTTAAACCAGGTGATAAGCTGACGGCAGTTTAATTAGGGTGTAATTTTTTTTTTTGCTGGGAGTCCATACTATTAGTGGTTGATTTTCATACCTACATTGGGTGGTCAGGTTATGTTGAAATTTGATTAGGAGGCAGGCACATGCGAGCAATTATAGTGATTGAAACCACTTAAAAGGAAAAGAATGGTCATTTGCTTTGAATTTAATCCCCAAAAAGGGATGAACCTTTTAGAAACAAAATTGGATACTTTTGGGTTGTAGGGGCATATTTCTGTTTCTCAAAAGTAAACAGTGATGAGTTACCACTGTTTTAGTCTCATCTGTTGTTTCTCCAGAGACTTTTGTTAGGACACCATTACAAGTGAGCCCACATTTGGTGTCAGGTGGTTGTCTGGACCCGTGTTATCCTGGCTTTGCCAGGTGTCTGTATTTCGTACCAAACTCTTCTACTTGTTCTGAGTCCTGCTGTGTGACTCCTTAGTTAAAGATGGTGGAGTGTTGGGAGGCTCTGCTGTTTCTCGGGATGTGCATATAGGTGGAGGCACCAGCCTCTGGCCTCCCGTGCTGCTCCTGAGCGTCATGTGCTGTTCACATTTGCCTTGGCAAATCATTCTCAAGAGATAATAAGGTTTGTGCACAAAGAAGTTTTTTCTCCCTGAACCAACTAACTGCAGCTTTCCAAGTACTACTACGGGAAAGATAAACTTACAAGCTTTTTGGCTGACGTATGTGAGTACTTGGGAAGAAGTTATGTTACTCTAATTATATTGTGGTTTGTAAGTTTTAGTAGTCGGGATGTGGTTTAGTATTGCCTGAATTAGTAAGCCCCTTTTTAATATTTCATTGTACTAATATCTAAACTAGTATGTTATGGTAGTCAGGGGAAATCTTCTTGTAAATTATGACTGATTAAAATAAAAAAACAACTCTGAACAACTGTAATATCCTGTTTTGACTAGCATGCAATTTATGCATGGCAAGGTTAGAAAAAAAAGAAATCTTAAATTATTTAGATGATGTGTGGTTAATAAATTAAATGCCTTCAACCAATAATAGGACATTAATAGGAAACTATATATTATAAACATATTTAAAGAATGCAGAGTACAAGGAAACCAAATAAGACTTAAACAAAGTCTGTAATTTCCTCTTTAGTTGATCTCCTTTACTGCTTTCATAAATTTATGTTTTATAGTTTCTGGCCTTAGTCAACATAAAAATATAAATATGTATTTAAATGAAAGCTTTTTCTTATAAAATAGATTCTGTAATGGGCATTTTTTTTCAAATTTTGGAAACCTTAGAAGCATGGAAATTCCTACTAGTATTACCTTAAAATAATATTAAAAAGTCAAGGGAAATTTGCTTAAAATATGTAGAGGAGTGTTGCTTGGATTTTGTTGGAAGATTTGACCTTTCAAAATCCACTCATATGTGTTTATTTTTACACTATTACATAATATTCTTCCTCCTGAAAAAAACTGCAGAAAAAAAAGTAAAAGTTATTCTTGGCCATAGTAAGTCAAAAGAAAATTTGGTGGGGTTTTTTTTTTGTCCTTTTTTTTGTAATTTAATTTCTATAAGAACTATTATTTGGCAAGTAGGTGGCAGAAAGGGAAATACAAAACACAGGCACACAAAAAGAGAGAGAAAATACCTGAATTTTGTGCTTCTCTTCCCTGAAGGCCAGGGCTGCTTAGGCTGATGCCAGGAGCCCAAAATTCAGAGCAGCATCAGCAGCACCTGGGAATTTCTGAAATGGGACTAGCCTTTAAATTCCTCACACCTGTTGGCACATAGTCTTAGTGCTGAGACCCACCCAGGAATTTGTGTTTCAGCAAACATGTTCTCCAGCTGATTCACAGGAAAGCCTCAATTTCAGAAACACTCCGTTGTTTCCTAGAAGGAAATTGTTCAGAGTGAGAAGTCTTTAAAAGAGATTATATTATCAGGTATGTATTTTAGAAAGATTGATTTACTGAACCATCATGAACTTAGTTGCTGTTGTTGCCAGGCATTTAGATAGACAATACAGTGGTGGCCAAAGTACCATGCTTCTTACACTTAGGGACCATAACATAACAGGAGCCTAGGTAATAGCTATGTAAACTATAATAAATTATTATGGATTGTGGTAATTCTTCACTGAAACCCTTCAAGAACTACATTAAATGCTAATCCTACATTTGAATTTTTCTTGACTGGTTCCAATTTAAGTATTTCCGCAGTATTTTATTCTGAAGTGGCTATTAATTCATCCTTTGGCACTTAACTTTCCTTGGATGTTAAAAAGAATATTAACTTCATTAAGTGTTCTTTTTGTGTGTTTTTGTCCTCTCCTCTCTTTTTAATTCAGACTGCTCAAGGTGGTGGGCATCGAACACTCCTTTATGGACATGCCATACTGCTGCGTCATTCCTACAGTGGCATGGTAAATAGATATGTTTGTTTATTTGATTTGATTCTGCTTGTTCATTTGGGGATGCGTACCTGATTTTTTTTGTCATTTATGAGATGAAACAGATGATTAAGGCCCTGCAGTTCTACCATTGTATGAATGTGACCCCTGTGCTCATGATTTTACTATTGGTAGAGATTTAGGAGAAGTATAAGAAACAAATATTTCTCTTTTCTGATTCTGTTTTAAATAGTTATCTTATTGGAGAATTCAAATGTCCTTTTATCATAAAAGATTAAAGGAAAATCTACCTATAAGCTCTCATGTCAATTTTATTCACTTATTTCTTTTGTTTCCCAGGTAGGTTTCTTTTTTTTTTTTTTTACAGCAGTAATTCCTTCTTATGCTTGTTACCCATTGGGTTCCTTTCTGGCCTCATTTTCTCATTTTTTATTTCCTAAGTATTAAAGCAACATATATCTGTGTTTTTAATAAATATTAAAAGTTAATGAAGATATACCTTTCTTTTAATTTCATTTTCATACCCTTTGAAGTATATTATGCAAATACTTTTTATTATATCTTTGTTAGACCTTTATTTAATTATAAGAGATTATTTGAAAAATCCTTCTGAAATCAGTAATACCATTTCCATTATTGTGCTGCATCTCATGAATAGGTCAGATAAGAAAACTGTGATCACTTCAACATGTTCTGAAGAATATCTTTAGTAAAGTTGAGCACCCATTCTTAATAAAAAGTAAGCATTGATGGGTATTTCCTCAATGATAAATAATATCAATATGAAATCTATAGCCAACATCATAAATGTGAAGTATTAAAGTCATTCTTAATGAAATTAAAATAATAAACGAAAAAATAGATATATTTTACCTGCATTCTCACACTTAAGGAAACCCACCTACCTGGATGGGCCCTGTTTGTAGTCATAATTTTTTTCAGTCTTTGCATTGATTATCCAATAATTCTGAGGGATTACTGTGGTTTGGCTTATTAAATTCTCAATACTGTCCCTGGGTACCCTTAGCAAGACTCCTGTTATTACCAACAGTATACCTGCTTACTGTAAGTTATAAAATGTTTCAGCTCCCATCACATTCGTCTTTGTGTCCTTGTAACACCTAAAATTTTGAAGCTATTGTGAGGGTCAGGGAGTTGGCTGGAAGAATGATCTTAAACTTTAACTTGGTGAAAATACAGTTAGGGAAACCCAAGGTCAGGTTTCCCTTAGAAAATGGCTGTCTGAAAGTTGGGTCACTTTTAGGATAATACACATGGGTATGCAATAGGATAAAATTTGTAGGGCAGCATTCTGCATACCCACATCAATTTAGGATGAATTCAAATGAGTTAGGTTTTACAATGCAAATAAAAGTGAAAGATAAAAGTGAATCATTTGCACATTTTTGCTTTGGAATAAAGATTCCTCCCGTTGTCCTTTTACTCATAATTGTGAATATTACATGAAATGGGAGATGTACAAACACATCTCCAATTTTTTGTTTTGTTATCCTGACAGAGCACATTCCCTCAGTCTTTCAAGAAAGGAAATAACCCATTTCCTTTCTACTATTGTTTGTATTGCATGCTGGGTGTAAGCATTGTTTTGTGGCACAAGTGCTTAAAAGCCTAGGATTTGCATGGTATTTACAGTTTTAGGAAAAGTCGAATCAACAGAGATACCAAATAACATGTTACCAAATAACATGTCAGAGTAAAGATACAGTCTTACTGTTTTTTTTTTCCAAGTATTTGTGCTGCCTCTCCACTTCTCGGTCTTCAACTGACAAACTGGCTTTTGATGTTGGCCTGCAAGAGGACACTACGGGTAAGCATTGTGTACAAATAAAGCTGTGTTTAAAGACAGCTGGCCAGGGAATGGACTGGAAGAAGTCATATGAGAATTGATGGTTGGAGATGCATCACATAATCAGGAACAAAAGAGTGACTTTCTAATTAAAGTTTTTAATATAATGAGAAAGCTTATATTATCCCTGATTGTTCCCCAAAATTAGTTGGATGTTGGATATTCATACTAGACTTGGTAGAAAATTATCTCTTAAATTTTCTTGGCATTAGTCATATTAACACACTTTGGTTAATTTGTCAAATATTATTGCATATTTCTTCCATATTAAAATACAGCATATTTAGTGTCAGTTTTCACAGAAAAGAGTAGTGGATGAAAATCTTGTGGCCTGTGGTGTAGTGCAGGGGTTAAGCTACCACCTGTGATGACACATGGGTGATGGTTTGAATTCCAAATGTGTTTCCAGTCCAGCTCCCTGCTAATTGAGCTGGGAGAGCAGCAGAGGATGGCTCAAATGCTTGGGCCACTGTGCGTGGGAAGCCAGGTTGGAGTTCCTGACTCCTGGCTTTGGCCTGGTCAGGTCCCAGTGTTGCTGCCATTTGGGGAGTGAAGCAGCAGATTCGTGATCTGTCTCCCCATGTTTCCTCCTCTCTGTAATTCTGCCTTTCAAACAGGTAAAATAATTTTTTAAAAAAGCAAAGAATATGAGAATCTCTTCATTTTTTTTGGATAGACAGGGCATTATGCTACCTATTTATCACAATAGAAATTACATTAGAATAAATTCATCTTTAGATTCTGTTTTTCCATGAAATTTCCTATTAGAAAATTCTTCTGGAGAGTCAAAAAAGGAAATCCTTGTATTTGGGTTATTGTTCTCAGTGACCTGAAAATTTTACATTACATTTGTTTCTTTATACCTCTGTACTACTTGCTCATTTTTATCTTTTACAGTGAACATCTATGGACTTGTTAAAAGAAAAAAAAAGTTGAGTAGAAAAAGCAATGGAAGCAAACGGTCCAACTGTTAAACTGTTCTTTTCAAGGGAAAGCTCAAGTTACCACTTCATCCCTCCATCATTTCTTTAAAATACCCCCTAACATGAATTACAAAAAAAACTTACGATTTTCTCTACATTTTTCACAAATGAATGGTTAACATTAAAGCTGAATTTACCAGCCCAGCTATTTGTTTTCCTAGAAAAGCACCTCATTTTGCCTAAGAAATTCCTGGCATTCCAGGTATCATCAAGATGAATATTTTATTTGGATTTTTATTTTATATTATAGAGACTATATTATATCTTTCTGGTGTTTTAATTTTAGTGTATTTCAACACAGTTAAGTGAAAAAGTTCATGTTTTTTCCTTCAAAGAAAAATCAGATGTCATCTAGAATTTTTTTCTTACCTTGTAATTACGTGATAGTGAAGCCAGTCACTTTACATTGTTATCTCCTTGTTCTCTATTTTTCATAGCTTTTTACTTACTATGAATTACTGAATGATTAATTACGTTAATGGTGCATTGTCTGCTTGCCTTCATCAGAGTTAGACTTACAGGGGAGATGTTTTTTTTCTTTGTTCATTGCCATATCCCCAACTGCTGAGGCAATCGTTACAAAAAAATTATATTGCTTGAATGAAAGAATAAAAAATTTCTCCAACTCTGAAAATGTGTTTTGAGTGGGTAAAGTGACACTTGTGGTTTATGTTAGACATAACCACAGATTGTGGTTTATGTTAGACATACCGTTTATACTAATGCTCAAGAAGTATTATTTGATAAGTTTACTCATTCATAGACTTGATTGAGTACTTAAAACATGTTGGTAAGATCTGTGGAAACACCAGTAAACAAAATATATGTTTCCCTGCTGTTATGAAATTTACATTTTGGCACTGTGTAGTTAAGAGAAATGTGTTATGGAAAAATAAAGCAGAGTAAAGGGAGAGAATGATAACTATTTTTTAACAAATGTCATAAAAGCACTATCTTTAGTGTTTGAACTAAAAAATTATTTAGCTTTTTTTTTCAAAGATTTATTTATTTATTGGAAAGTCAGAAAGATATACAGAGAGGAGGAGAGACAGAAAGGAAGATCTTCCATTCAATGATTCACTCTCCAAGTGAGCGCAATGGCTGATGCTATGCTATGCAGATCCAAAGCCAGGATCCAGAAACTTCTTCCGGGTCTCCCACGCAGGTGCAGGGTCTCAAAACTTTGGGCCATCCTTGACTGCCTTTCCAGGCCACAAGTAGGGAGCTGGATGGGAAGTGAAGCTGCCAGGATTAGGACCTGCACTCATATGGGATCCTGGCGCCTTCAAAGCAAGGACTTTAGCTGTTAGGCCACGCCGCCGGGCCCTATTTAGTTTTTTAGAGTAAGGGGGAGTAATTTGAAATATGGGTGCATAAGCATTTACCATCATTAATGGGGCTAAAGAATGAGGAATATACTCAGGCCTAATAAGAATTATGCTTGACTTGATGTAAAAGTAATTATTTGATTTAATATATATAGTCTTTTCATACTCTATCCTGTGGTAGAATTTTCTTAAATTTTGCAGTTAGGTTAATAGAAGCTACATATTTTGCAATAACACAACAAGGCAAATGGGACAAGATGAGTAAGATTTTTAGGTGACAGTACTTTCATGTCCTTTTTTTCAATGGGGATCCCAAGTCTACTGAGATGATCTCTCTCTCTCTCTTTTTTTTTTTTTTTGTTAACAAAAAAGATACTATGTAGATGTCAAATCACAAAACCTCAAATGTGTTTTGAAATCAAGTGGCAACAAACTGGCTGTTTTCCCAGAGAGCAATAGTAACAGTGAAAAAAGTATGTAATTTGTATAAAGAATGCATCAAATCGGATTGGGGAATTTGATCTTTGCTAGTATAAACAAATTAATTCTTACTGGCAGAAAAGGTACTAGCCTTTCTGAGAACTTAGACTCAAGACTGTGAGAAGAAACTTTGCAGTTCATTATGTGTTATGTTATGCTGACTTGGCTTAATTCTTCTGATTTTCATGGTCTAAGATTAAGCTGCATGAAATCTTAAGGTTTTGAAAATTGTGTGAGTGGTGTTACTGCAAAGGACACTAGATTTTAAAGGAAGATGTGTCTCTCTGAGTTCCCTATCCTACCACTGTGCAGGTGAGGCTTGCTGGTGGACAATACATCCTGCTTCAAAGCAGCGCTCAGAGGGCGAGAAAGTGCGAGTTGGAGATGACCTCATTTTAGTCAGCGTGTCCTCTGAAAGGTATCTGGTAAGTGTGTAAAGTACAGTCATGGATTTGCAATATGATAAATGACAGGCCAATGAAAGAATCTATTTAGGGTTATATTGCAACTGATTTAGGAAAACGGCTTCTAAGCAACTCTGCATCTCTATTTGATGAGTTATATAAAAATAAATCTCTATTAGTAGGAAGGTAATGTGACAGGACAGTAAATGTGGCTCCTGGGTCTGTGGAGTTGGGCTTTCTTAACGTCCTTGATGTGAATGTTCATGATATTGAGAGTGCTTATTGATGGTTTTATTAATAGAATGTAAAGATGATTTAATCATGAAATCAAAATTCTGTGGTTTTATTTTGAGCCCCATGAAAAGGCTTTAATTTAGCCTTATTATTAATTTTAATCTTATTGATTACCTATTTTGATATTTAGGAAAGCAAATTAATGTGAGAGATAGTTCCATGTTAAAAAATGTGAGAAAATAAAAAATAGTTTGAGGCTGTCATTGCAGAGTTTCAGAGGATATAGGATAGAAGTGGGAGATTGAAGAAGCTTTTTCATTTGTCATTATTGATATTTTTATTTTGGTTATGAGGCCAGTTTATTTCCAAGTTGTGGTTTTACTTACTAGTCACATTTGGGAATTTTCAGAAAATTAAAACCTAATACTTTGTCAACTTTGAAATAAAGTATTTTAAAGTAATTTTAAAAATCTGGGAATTGTAATCTTTACATAAATAGCCAACATAAAAATTTCTAGACATCAACGTGAATGATCAGAAACCAACAACATAATACATGAATCAGACACTGGAAAATATGAAGTGTTAGCATTTTATTAGGTGGAAATATGTGCATGTGTTTTTTGTTGAACTGATACATTTTGATCAGATGTACATTTTAAATTATTGTTGTACTTGCAAACCAATAACTAGTACACTTTTCAATATGTAAACTGGACACATTTTATTTTGATCTTAGTATAAGCTGTTCAGTTTTTTCGTTTGTGTTGTACAACTTGTCCTTTGAACTCTGTAGCATAGTTTATTTGACAGGAGGACATCTCTGTGCGCTGAAGGAGAAAAAAATTTGGAACCTCATAGGAGCCCATGTTTTTAATATTGATTCTGTCACTAACTACCGAAGCAAGTCATGTAATTCTTTGGGCTTTGGTTTCCTCATTTGTAAATCAAAGTTGATGCTAATAATCAGATACAGCATCAAGTTTGTTGTGAGGAAACAATGACGTGATGAATTTTGATATGCTTTGTATTAAAAAGAACTATATATAGTATTTTCATTGCATTAACTAAGGTTAGCAAATAATTTCCTAGGTATATTTTAGACAGTTAAAGTTCTCTTTCCTGAAAACATTACAAAGCATAATAAAGGATTTATTTAGTTTAAAGGCAGAATTAGAGAGGGAGAGCGAGAGAAAAAGTTTGCCAGTTTGCTCCCTAAGTGACCACAATGACCAGGACTAGTCAGACTTACACTAGGAGCCAAGAGCCTCTTCTGAGCCTCCCCTGTGGGTGCAGGGGTCTAAGTATTAGAGCCATCTGCCATGTATTTCCCAGGTGCATCAGGAAGGAGCTAGATTGGAAGTGGAGCAGTAGGTACCTTAGTTGGTGCCCATATGGGATGCCAGCATTGGAAGCTGAGGCTTTCTATACTGTGCCACAAGGCTAAACCCTTGTAATTTTTTTATAGAACTGTGAAACAGCCGATGAGTTTGTTAAAGTTTTACTTGACTTTGGTAATGAAATTAATGATTTTACTGTCTGTCTCTGTAAACCTAGCATGTAGCAGAAACAAGAAGACCCAGGACACATTATACTTGATTTTGGTCCTTACATTAGTGAAAAAGCAAACCAGATGCATATAGAACTGTGTGAAATATACTGTGATAAAATAAATAAATGTTACCAAATAGCTTAGAAATGATAAAGGAGGTTCTTTTGCGTGTAAAGATTTTTTATATTTTATATTTTTATTTGAGAAGGAAGGAGTGGGAAATAAAGAGAAAAAAAGATAGATGGATGTACTTATACCTGTTGATTCATTTCCCTGCATGCCTGTGACAGCAGGGCTGTGCTAAGGCAGGAACTGGGACCGCAAACCATGTCTCCTGCGTGAAGGAAAGGAACATAATCCCTTAAGTCTGCTGAAGGCTGTATTAGCAGGAAGCTGAAGTCAGGAGCTGGAACTGGCAATTAAACTTATGTTTTATATATAGCATGTGGTATACTCATTGGCATCTAAGCCACAAGGTAAAATATCTACCCAGGGATGGTTGGTTGTGGTTTCAGATTTCCACTGGAGTTTATTAGTAGTAGTGACAAAGTATGGTGCTGATGATCCAAGGGTTTATGTGGCTGAATCAGTTAAAAAGATCTAGAGATAAAAGTAAATATAAATCTTAAAAAAAATCTAGAGAAATTGACAAAGCAAGAGGTAAATTAGTAAAAGGATTTTGAAATGGAGGCAATTAGAATATGTCAAACATTATCACATATTAAAGCCTAAGTAAAGATGAGTTTCATATGTATTCATTCATTAGCATCAAACCTGGTAACTAACAGGCCTGGGGAACTCTCCTTACCTCTGGAAACTGTTTCTTCATCAGCAGCTTGCGTTAAGAAATTAATTCACATGGGTATTTGGGGGCTTTTAATTTCTTTTTCTTATTTTCAGTTCACTTAAAAGGCAGACACACAGAGAATGTGACACACACATACCCCTACATGCACACACCTCTTGTAGTGTTCAACGGATTAAGCTCTTCTGGAGGACTAATTGGCACCGTCTCTTCTAGAAGATGTGTCGTGGTGGAGGAGGTTGCTGTGTACAGCTTTACCTAACATCACAGCTCCTGCCTCAGCTACTTGTGCTTGATGCTGGAATATGATTTTGAAGGAATAAAGGGACTTACTTGTAAATATAATTGTAAATTTTTTACCTGGAGAATGCCTTTCCTCGGTTTTGCTGTTGTATGTTGTAATGTGGAAGGAAACCTTTATCTTTTCAGAACTATACAAACGTGAAGACCCTGTATTGATGAGTAAACATGACAATTGCTGTGCTTATGATTTTATTTTTTTCATTCAGATTTGGTAACTCATATTTCAATATTCTACAGGAAGCAAGTTGTATAATTTTAGTACATTTCTGTATTTAGAGGGAAAACATGAAATTTCTATCTTTTCCAGAAAATTAATAGCTTGCTGATAGATAACCATTAAATGCATTGGTATCTAATGCAAGTAATAGTTCCTAAAGGATTTCATAAAACACATTGGTCAAATATATTTGCCCTGTGTCACTGTAGAAAAACTATCACAGTGATATTCATTTGTACATTTTCTGATTACTGTCTTAAATTAGTAACTCAAAATGAAGCTTCAAACCTGAAGTCAGATGGGAACTCTTACTGTTTATTGCCACCAGTCTTCAATTTTTGAGTGGCAGAGTTGAAATAGATGTTCTCTTTGCATATACATGTTCAAATCTATAGTGCGGAGTTTGAGTTGCCAGAAGCACTTACTTACTAAAACTAACCAGAGCCTGAAGCATTGCCTCCTTTTTCTCCTGATACAGCACCTGTCTTATGGTAATGGCAGCTTGCATGTGGATGCCGCCTTCCAACAGACACTGTGGAGTGTGGCCCCAATCAGCTCAGGAAGTGAAGCCGCCCAAGGTAAAAACTCTGCTTCAATTAGAGTGCTCATCCTTGATGCATGTGGTTGTGATAATGAGCTGATTGATCATTAGTGTTGTCTTGTGTCTAAATAGTCTGTCATGCATACACATGGCACTTGAGAATCTTGTTTAAATTGCTATTTAAAAGTAAAGATTTATTTTTATGCAGTTGCGAGCTTTAGCTTTGTTGTGGAGCTGCATGTACTAGCTTTCCAAAAGTTATTTTTTCCAATTCTGTGTCCTCAGGGTATTGCTCAGTTAGGATAATGTCAACATTGCTTTTTTTTTTTTCAAGGGTTGTGCCTAGATCACACTCATTTTTATTCAGCAGATTTTCCTGGGGAAATGTCTACTTATTTTGCTGCTATTGCTATTGTTATTTTTTGATGTAGGTTCCAAACTGATCAATACATACTTATATGTTCAATGTGGTTGTGGCCTTGTGTTCTAATGGGACTCTTCTTAACTGGGGCACTCTTAAAGTGCCACTGATACCATCCATCTCTTTGACCTTAGCCAGGTTCTTGAGCCTCTCTAGCTGTTTGTCTGTGAAAGCAGAAGATTGGACCAGATAGAATGTCCAGCTATCAACATCAGACCATGATTGTCCAAACATTAATGGCCCTTAATCCTACAGGATATCTCATTGGTGGTGATGTCCTCAGGTTGCTGCATGGACACATGGATGAATGTCTCACTGTCCCCTCAGGAGAACATGGAGAAGAACAACGAAGGTTGGTACTTGTTCCCATGACACCAAATGTTGCTTGTTTTGTTTTTGCCTTCATTTGCTTTTTCTCATTTGAGAGTATATCTGTTTAGACTGTTCCCATAAGCATAAGGGAAAGTGGACCACTGTCTCTCACTCGTTCACTGATTGTAGTTCACGAAAAACTGTCATGTTTGGGAATGAACTTGATGTGTGAGGAAATGTATCAAATGCAAAGCAACCTGATGTTTCTGGTGTGGGTAAGACATATAGTACTCAGGATTGCAGAAGATAGAGCGTCTTTCAAGTGAAGGGTGGAATTCAGCTTTGGACACGGGTGAGTATAGAGGCTCTGTGGGCCATCAAGGGTGAAATTGGGCTATGTGAGTCTTTAAATTCGAAAAGCCTTGGGTTGAATGTGAATCACAAATGAATGGGGAGTAGTTGGAGGAAGGAACATCTATCATATGTTGTCTCATATGCAGAGGGGAAAGCTGTAAATAGGGAAATGGAGTATCAGCTTGGGCCTTGCCTTGCTATAGAAAGGCTGGGAAAGTGTAGGAATAGATGAACCAGACAGAAAGGTGAGAATGGACCCTGGATATGTAAAGAAGGAAAAGAGTCAGATGAGTGAATGGTAGCTGGAGAACCAGGGAAGTTCATCATGGAAAAGAAAGAAGTACTGGGGAATTGTGTTAAAAACCATGATATGTTCATGGCCTGGGGTTAGAGTATGTTGTAGTAGGTTGATTCTACTTAGGTCTCTGAATCCCATATGGAGTCTCTGAGACCAAGTCCTGTCTCAACTTAAGGTGCAGGTTACTGATAATATACCTAGGAAGTAGTGGATAATGGCACAAGTTCCTGGGCTCCTGCCACCAACTTGGGAGACCTCAATGGTTTTCCTGGCTCCTGGCTTCAGCATGGCCCCACCCTTGTTGGCCCAAAACTTTGAGGAGCAATCTAGTGTATGGAAAATCTAGCTCTGTTTCTTTGTAGTTCTGCCTTTCTCTTTATCTCTTTGTCATTTAAAGACAAATATATATATATATATATATATATATATGTATAAATTTTTTAAAGCTATAATGTATTCTAATGGAGTTATGAGCTATAGGTTGTGGCAGAATCTATTGGTCCCCTCCTTTTTAATTATTATGCTACAGTTTCATAGGCTCTGAGATTTCCCTTATCCACTACTTCATGTCTTCTTCCCCTCCACACACACACTGATTTCCCCTGTATTATTACAATAGTATAGTTCTTCATAAACTGTATGAAGACTATCACTATGGGCATGGACAGTGGCAGAGAGATCAGCATCTCATTGTCAAGATATATTTAGTAGTTTTATTGGGAGTCCATCTTTTATCTGGAAGTGCAGAGGCATAATGCATTGTATCCTCACATCTGGATATGGTAGTCTCCATTGCAAAGTACTGTACATCCCCTTAAATGAAAAGCCACAAAACAAAATCAACAACAGGAAGAAAACTAGAAATTTACAATGTCATGAAGTTAAATAACATGCTACTGAATGACTAATGTGTTACTGAAGAAATGAAAAAGAAAACCAAGAACCTTCTTGAAGAAAATGATGCTACTATATGACCTATGAGTCAGTGAAGAATTTAACATGAGAAAAAAACTGTTTTGAAGAAATTAAACTAAAAACAAAAACATCAAAATCCATGAGATATTATTTCCACTGGTGTATGTTGGCGAGATGTGTCTGCTGTGGGCAACAAATAGATGGGTTTTATTTTTAATCTAGTCTACCAGTCTATAATGTTTGATTGATGAGTTTAAGCCATTTTCATTCAGGGTTAATATAAATAAGGTGATAATTTGGTCCTATTTATTTTAGCAATGGGTTGTTCATTGATTTAGTCTTCTGTTATTTTACTGAGATGTTCTTCGCATTTGCCTTTGGTTTTGGTGGGCACTATTCCTTTTCTCTGTCAAGAGAACATTTTTAATTATCATTTGTAGGGCAGGTTTGGAAGAGGCAAATTCTTTTTTTTTAATTGATTACATTGCATTATGTGACAGTTTTATAGGCACTGGGATTCCCCCCACTCCTCTCCAACCCCCCTCCCCCATGTGGATTCCTCCACCTTGTTGCATTACCACAGTTCAAATTCAGTTGAGATTCTTTCATTGCAAGCATCTACCAGGCATAAAGTCCAGCATCTTATTGTCCAGATAAGTTCATCAGTTTCTTGGGGAGACCATCTCTGGTCTGAAGGTAGAGCCAGCAGAGTGGTTTTGATAGTTCAGCAGATCTGAATTGCTGCCACTCTGACCACTCCAAGCACAATGAGGTCATTGGAGAATCCACTGATTGACATAGTCCATCATATAATCTCCGGAGGCAAATTCTTTTAACTTTTCTTTACTGTGGAAGAATTTTATTTTATTTTCAAAGACAAAAAAAAAAAAACTTTGTATATGTTGTTCTGGACTGACAAGTTTTTTTTTTTTTTTTTTAGTTTTCGCTTGTAGAATCTGGAAATATGTTGCTCCATTCTCTTCTGGCCTGTAAAGTTTCCTGAGAGGTCAACTATGAGTCTGATTGCCATTCCTCTGTATGTCAATTGATTTTTTTCATGTGCACATTTAAGGATCTTTTCTTATATTCAATTAAAGAGAGCTTGATTATCATGTGTCTTGGTGAAGATTGCTTTTGGTCAACCCTGTTGGGGTTCTGTGCCGTTCCTGGATGTTGTTTCCCAATTCTTTCTCTAGATTAGGGAAGTTTTACCTTATTTCATTAAATGCATTTGTAAACCCAGCTTCTCCTTCTGCACCTTCTGGAACTCCCATAATTCTTACATTTGGCCTTTTAATAGTGTCCCTTAATTCTTGGATATTTGTTTTAGCTTGACTCTGCTTTGCTTCCAGCTTTTTAATTGTTTCCCCATTGTGGCAAGAAATATCTTCCAATTCTGAGATTCTTTCTTCTGCCTCATTCATTCTTTTGAGATTTTCCACTGAATTTTTAATTTGCTCCATTGTGTCCTTCATTTCTAATAATTTTGCTTGATTTTGTTTCAGTGCTGCTATTTCCTGTGTGATATATTCCTTGAATTCCTCTATGTGCTTCTCATTATTGCTAAGAAGCTTTATAACAAGTGTTTTGAATTTGTTATCACCCACTTCCTTGATTTATTCCTTTTTTGACTCTGAGATTGGCAGGTACATTTGTTCCTTTTGTAGGGAGTCTTCAGTAATATTCATTGTACCTCTATTTCTTTTTTTGCTGTTGGTCATTGTACTTATGGTTAGCAAATTCTTCTCTTTGGGGCAGGTTTCTGAGCTGTGTCTCCCACAGGTCTACCATTCAGTTTTCTTGTGTTTGGTTCTTTTTTGTTTGTTTGTTTGTTTGTAGTTACTTATGCCACTCCTTCCAGTGAGTTTCAGGTCTGGATACTTGTGTTAGGCTTCCCTCATGGTTTTGGTAGCCCCTGCTCCTGGCTTACCACTCTTCACTTCCTATGACTTTGTTCTGTAGCTACATTGTTGTCTGTACAAGTTTTCTCCCACTTCCAGTTTGAGCAGTTCCCAGGATTAGGGAGATACCAAGTGTCTTAAATAACTAGGTTGTTGGTAGTGCTGATCTTGTTGGAATCTGTTGGTGATTAGGTGTGAAAGTGACTTGGACCTAATTAGACCCTTTGGATGTTGAGGGACCCATGCAATGCACTGAGCTGGAAGTGAGTTCATTCCCAGCTCAGTGCATGCATACTCACTATTGTCCCTCCAATCTCAGCCTTTGCCACACTGTACAAACTGTTGTCCAGTATGCCACTGGTGGAGTTCTGGATCTGCTGGCTGTTAAGTCCGTTGGTTATCCAGATGTATTTCAGTTGGAACCTGTAGGATACCCCATTAGTGCAATGCACTGAACAAGAAATGAGTTCCTTTCCAGTTCAGTACATACATAGTCCAGTCCCACAGCCTTGCTTTCCCATACAAAATTATGTTCAATGCAGCTTTGGTCAGGGGATCTGTGCTATGAAATCCACCCTGTTCCTATACCACCTGCTTGGGGTCTGCTGCTCTGTCTCTGTTCCTTATCAAATAGATCAGCAGGACGAGCAGTTCTTTGCCTGGATTTACCTTCTGGGCTCCCAGTGAATTCCCCTTCTAACCTGGCTTCTGAGGTAACTCCAGCTGCCAGTGGAGCATAGAATACTGCTTGCTGACTGCCACTGGGGTTATCTGGTCACTGCAACACCACACCATTTTCTCTGCTGCTTTCCCGTTTCCTTCAGGCTTCAGATACTCCTCTGCCATTATTCTGCCCCCTCTTATTTCCTGAATGTGCCTATCTGCTTCACCCTCTATTTAAATATGTCTATATCCTATTCTGTCATTTTGATTCCAGCAGAATCTATTTTAACTTCACTCTTGGATTTCCTAAATGGAGTAGTCAGATGAAGAGATTCTTAGATACCTTCTGATTTTTTCACACAGATTTCAGAATTTTTTGGTTAAGTAAATGGTCCACAGAGTTAGATCTGGGTAAGGGTCTTGGCTTTGTTTCTTGTGTAACTAGTGCAAGTGGCTTAACTTGTTTCAGTATGTGTTTATCCACTCTGTATAATGCAGTTTGTTTTATCTCTGAGTATAGGAGACATATACATAAGGGAATGCACAAAAAATACTTAATGCATAGTTTGTTATTGCAGAGATAAACTTGCAAAGATTTCAGAGCTGTTTTATACTGCTATGAACTCACTCTTCTACTGCATGCATGTTTAAGCCTGCCCTTCTCAAAATGTATTTCTGATTTCATGTTGGTAATTTTCTATCAGTATAACCTCAGCATGTCTTCAGGTCAGTAATTATGATTCTTTCTAGATTTTTATGGCAATAAGAATAAATTTTGTGTATCTCATTTAAAAAATAGTATAGTTGTGAAGCAGAAGGACAGAGAGTAAGAAAGACAACCTGTCTGCTGGTTCAGGTCTATCGTGATTATGACTGTGCCAGGCCAAACCCAGAGTCTGTTTCTCATGT